CCCCCCCCCAAAACCAAAATTTTATTGTGGATTCAGGGTCCTCTCGCCGAGCGCAGAACGACCCTGGTATCAATAAAAATAAATATATATTCCTGGGCGTTTTTTTGGCCCGCCCGATTTACCCGGGCGCCCCCCTCGGGCCCAACCGGCCGGGCCCAGCCCAGCAGGGCAGGCCCAGCGGGCAGCGTTCTCACTCAGTTTTTTTCTGTTTTTTTTTTTTTGGTATTATGAGCCTGCATTGTTTGTTCGCGAAATTTTCAACGACATTGCTTGTGGTGATGCGGCGAAAAACCCTGAAGCCGTTGAACCTTGACGGCATGTATAGCATCAACATCAAAGCATAAAACACAAGGTAAGTTCTCAGATGGAGCGGCATATCTCCATCAAGTATGATAGCCCTATCTGGTCTGGCACACACACAACACACTACTTAACACGCAACAGATGAAGGTGAAAGCCTAGGTGAATCTGGTCGGTGGATGGACTGCTCATGTGCCTATGTGTGATACTCAACCTCACGCCCTGCGCAGCGCTCGTACCTATGGAATCACAATAGTAAATTGGGTGTGGCTGAGGATTTTGGGCGGGGTTTTGAACCGCCTGGACGAAACTGGGGTTCTCGTGTCAGATCTGAGGGTCCTTCTGGAAAACACCAGCCAACAAGGACAATTTCAAAATTGCAAAATTTAGATGACGGAGAAGGGCAGGTCATCCGCAAAACCCTGCCGCCAGACTCAGGGACAAATGTGCAAAACTCACTCCTACCCGAGAATTAAATGCAGAAGCTCCGCAAAACGGAAACGAATTCAGCGCCTACTCTATGTTAGGTTCACACCTCCCTTTCTGTGGGGGCCAAGGAGGAAAGGGACACTTAACGCATGTGAATCGGGCCTCGCCAACGAGGCCCGTCAGATCAACCTGAATCCTCGTCATCCGACGGTGGTGGAGGCCGAGGCGCCAAGGTCCAGAAGTTCGCTGGAGGGAGCCGGGAACCGAACGGACCCTTTGTACCCCAGCACCAGGAGGATGAGTTCCCAAGCCGGCACCAATGACGGTTAAAATGGGGCTTCCCCTTGGTGTGCACTGCAGACTAGGGAAGCATGTTCAGATCGGTGTATGGCAAGATCAATGAGGGGGAAGCAAACTGATCAATCAATACCAACCCAACTCCCCCTATATGACACGCCTTAGATGGGTTGTAGAAGTGAACCAATCGGTCCGCAATAGCGCACTCCGTACATCCATGTCGCAGCAAAGCCCGTCTTCGTCTGCGATCGGAAAAGGAGGAAGGTCACTATGGCGGATCGATGTAAGGTTCGAGCAAAGGCAGTTACCCGCGCTCACACTCAAGTTGGCAAACCTCGACTCCATACAATTCTCAACTTGTCCCACACGGACCCGACCTCCTATCAAAATGCAAGCTGATTAATGCATGACGACTCCAATCAAAACTGCCACCTTGACAAAACGGTAATGGCCGGGAGGAAGGGAGATCGGGTGGAATGACTTAGTCGCTACACCCGATGTCACTGTTCGGCCGAGCGTACGCACCAGGTGAACAGGGAGACTGGCACATGGCACTTGCACGCAACGAAGGGGGGAGGGGGAGGGGAGGGGGGAAGGCCAGCAACAATCTCGCAAGCGCACTGAGCGCGGGGATCTGCAGTTAGTCCGGGAAAGAGGGCATCAGTTCACTCATACACCCATGCAGACGTCCGAGACCCAATTACCCTAAGTGCCCACTCATGTGCCCAAACATAACAAGGACACAGTCCTCAACCATCCATACATCCATAGACTTTCTGACAGCGAAGCATTCAGCATCCATAGACACTTGCAACCAAGGCCATGCATACGACTGAGTATCCACACTTAGTCTTCAACACACATGACACTCGGACAAAGCAGCGATGGAGAAGAAGTGAGTCCCTCGCTATTCGTCAATCTTCACAATGTTGGCACTCTGCGTGCGCAGCCACCATAGCATACTGTGCATCCACACGGGCCTGCAGGGCCCGACCAGATGGAAAATAAGGGCCCTCCAGGCCCTGTGTTGTTTCAGCCTAAAAGCCTAAAAAGGAGGGCCATTTTCAGGGCCTCGTAAAGTCGACCTGTCCTGAAACTTAGGCACCAGACCAGGGTTAAGCGCAGGCCATTTTTAGGCCTGTTTCAAGACAACCTTTGTTTGAACTTCAACGCCAGGGTCTGGCACGATTCGGCATGGGCAAGAGCAGCCTCGCAGCAGGACCAGCACTATATAGTACTGGTCCACCCTGCAGGCTGCAGGCAGTTCACGGGGAGTTCACAGGCACTTCACAGGCAGTTCAGGAGGCAGGAGGCAGTCTTCAGGAGTTGGCAGCAGCACTCTGCAGGAGCGCTGCAGTAGTAGTGGTTAGCGCTAGGAGTAGTCTTCAGCGCTGGGCGCTGCTAGGAGCTTAGAGAAGTGTTGAGAGAGAGAGAGAGAGGTGGCGGAGGCCAGGGAGACTTACCTGTGGAGCCATAGCTCCAGCTTGGTCTTCGGTGTACCTGCAACAAGGCGCCACCTTCACAGGTTAGTACTTGGCACAAGAGGGAGAGAGRGAGTTCTTCTTCTTCCTCCACCATCTCCCCCTCACCCTTTCGCCACCTGATTTCTCACTATCTGGTAGACTGAGAGAGAGAGAGAGAGAGAGAGAGAGAGAGAGAGAGAGAGAGAGAGAGAGAGAGAGAGAGAGATTTCTGACTTTGGGATGTTGACAACATTTGGATACAGACTCAACCTGGGGACAGAGACATTGATGGGAGACTATTTGGGATCGATATCATCGACATCGGTGTTGGCGACATTCTCATCTTCTTCCCCTCTTCGTCTGTTCCCCCTCCTTTCGTCTGTGTATGTTTGGAGCCTGGCGCATTCCTCCTGAGTGTAGCGCCAGGCCCTTCACACCATGCGAGGATGATGATGTATGTTTGGTGTTTGGTGTTAGGTGTTTGGTGTTAGGTGTTTGGTCTGCATTGCGACATTGATTGGTCTGATCATACGTATATTAGCCTTCCGCTGCGCTATCCTGTACTATGTGAGAGAGGCCGGTTCTTGTTCTGGTCTGTACCGTTACGGTATGCAGCAGTTTGGTATCGGAGCGGACCTCTCAATCAGAGGATCCGCCCAATCAAGGAGCGAGCTTGCTTGATCGACTGATTGTTTGAATGATTGATTGATTGATTGTTTATTAGTGAATCAAGTAGGGCTTCGTCAAATCTCTGCACTTCTTTTTTCTTTTTCGCAACTTCGGATATTAGCATTTCGTTTTTTTGGTTCACTCTGGGCATATTAGGTGAACTAGGGAGGTCATATTCTCGGAAACTGGATCTATTCTTCTCTGAAAGTGGAACCTCCATGCTATTTCGCGCGGAAAAAAGAAATTCAAGATCGCTTTTTTTTTTAAGGCCGAAACTTTGCGAAACCTTGCCTAGATCTCACTTATAGTACTCCGAGAACGCCTCACTGATAGCCGATCGACAGTTATTCAAAAAAAAAAAAAAAAAAAAAGGGGGGGGGATCCTCTTCCTTTTATTTATTTATTTTTTTATTTTATTCTGTTGATTAGGACCAGGAATGGAAAGTTCAGTTTGGTTACCTTCCTGCGTTTCCCTCCCACCCGGCCCCTTGCCTGCATATCCGGTTTGGTAAGTGCCACGTCAGCAGTGCCATGTCAGCAACAGTGCCATGTCAGTAGTGCCATGTCAGCAACAGTGCCACATCAGCAGTGTCACGTCATGACGGTTTCAGTTTTGGGCATGCAAGGCCGACTGGCCAACGAGTCCATTGCCAAGTACCAACAGCGGTTCCAAGCTCAGCTCGCACTGATTGAGGCTCGAGGAACAGCACCAGGCGGCAGCCGAGGCTGCCCGCCTACAGGCTGAAGCGGAAGCAGCAGCTGAAAAGCAGCGGCTTCAGGCCGCAGCTGACACAGATGCCCAGGTCCGCTGCAAGGAGGCCCAGGATCTGCTGCAGCAGCACGAAGCTGCCAGCGTCGACAAGCTCAAGTTCTGGCATTTTGAACCATCCGAGGGTCATGACGACGTGGCACCGGAAGAGCAGCTCAAGGAGTTTCTCTCCAAACTTGTGACCCGGTTGGTTTACACTTGTAACCACCTGCAGTCCAAGCTGGGGAATCTTCGACGGGCAGTGCGGAACCACAAGGATCTGTACGAGGATGCTACAATGGCACTTCTTTCCCGTGTACAGGACTTGGAGCAAGCAGCACCAGGACCAGATGCTGGCGAACCCAGCAATGCAGCCTCAACCCGCCAGTTGGAGCAACGAGTTGACCATGTAGTCGCAATGCTCGACGACGTCAGCACCTTCGCGGCACTAGCCACCATCAGCAAGCAGCTTGACACCTTGAAGATCGATGTTCGACAACTACACCAGCCCCCCGACAATGATAGCAGCACCAGTGCATCGCGGCCGTACAAGATGCGGACGTTCCGGATCAAGAAGTTTGATGACTATACGCATCAGGACCCAGTCGTCTGGTGGCAAGGCTTTACAACGGAGATTGGGATTTATGAGGTCCCCAATCACTTGTACATCTCGGCGCGATTCCTCAACGCCAAGGGCGGATGCCAGATCTGGCTCAGCCACATGGCAACCATCCAAGGCGTCCAGGTCTCCGACCAGATCTCCTGGGATGATATGACGAACGAATGGAAGAAGCGGTTCATTGTGGACGACGCCCCGGCGCTCGCTATCAACCGCCTCTTCGCCATGACTCAAGGCAACACACCGACACGCGATTGGCTCACAAAATGGCAAAAGATCGTGGCAACATCCGATCTCGAGTTGCCATTTTCGCATCTGTGCTGGGAGTTCTACAACCGGTCGTGTGCCGCCTTGAGCCTTGCACTCGGTGATCGAGAATAGTACACGACCTTCGCCGAAATCATCGACAAGGCGCGTGAGATCATCAAGACCAACCTATGTGGAAAAAGGAACATTTGGTCCGCGTCCGCAGCCTATGTGGTCCCTCGTCCGCAGCGATACACACGAGAGGTCGGTGTGGCAGCCAGCCTATGTGGAAAAAGGAACATTTGGTCCCTTGTCCGCAGTGATACACACGAGAAGTCGGTGTGGCAGCCAGCCTACGTGGAAAAAGGAACATTTGGTCCGCGTCTGCAGCCTGTTGCTGCAGTCCAACTGGACAACCTTGTGGAAGACCCGGCAGCCACCCCAGCATCACGTGAGGGAGATCAGGTGGCCGTCGTCCAGCTGCGAAGCAACAACTCACGTGGAAAAGGGGAGGCGAAAACAGCATCGCCGGTCGGAAATGGACAGCCAGTACCATGGGTCAAGTCCAACTTGACCGAGGCCGAATATAAGTACCTCAGCCAATACGGCTGCTGCTACTGGTGCAACAGCACCAAGCACAAGACCTCCCAATGTCAAGATCAAGGCAAGGAGGATGTTCGACCTCGAATCAGCTCGGGAAATTGAGTTGCGCGGGGGGTGAGGCGACTCCACGTCTCACTCCGCCAGATTCGGCCGCCTTGCTAGCGGCCTCCTACACATTTGGGGAGAATGCGGATGTCGCGAGTCCTCGGTTTACTTACGAGGATTACGCTGTCCGCTTGGTCCCACCGTTGGACCAGCTACTACACGTGCGACAATCCACCGCACGCACGGTTTCACCACCATCGGCAACCGGTTCGGCATTTCGCCTCCAACTTTCGTCGGGGATTCGACGTCATGGTCAAGACTTGAGAGACTCGACCTGTTGACATTCGCGGACTTCCAATGGATGCCCCTTCCCCTGATCGGTCGATTGTTGAAACCGCATTGCAACTACGGGATTACTTGCACACTGCAGTACCAGCTCCATTGATAGACGCCGGAGTAGAGGTTGTTGACCTTCACTGCTACGTTGCGAAGATCGTCCGCGAGTTCAAGACACAACGGTAGGACACCAACGACGCGCCATTGCTATACATACGCATTCAGATCGGAGAGGCGACCTGCAACGCTTTGATCGATTGCGGAGCTACTGGCAACTATATGAGCCAAGACTTTATGGTACGCGCTGGCCTTGGGCCACGCGTTCGGAGGAAGTCACGGCCCGCACAAGTCACGTTGGTCGACCATCACATGCACAAGTCAATCGACTGGTACATTGATTCCGTCCTCGTGTACTTAGCCACGCATGCAAGCGAGATCGTGTCCTTCGACATTTTGGACACCAAGTTCGACATGATTTTGGCCATGTCATGGCTGCGAAGTGAGGACCACCCGGTGAACTTCTACAGCCGCACCGTTCACATTCGTGATTGGAATGGAGTACCAGTCCCGTGCACGGTGCTTCCTCCTCGTCCTTCGATCAATTGTCACGTGGTGTCTGCCGCGAGCATTCGAGCTTCCATCACCCGGGATGACATCGAGGAGATGGGTGTGTGTTATCTCCACGCCCTCCCTCCCCATGACATCTCATCGACGGACCCACGCATCACCGAGCTTCTAGACGCCTACGGTGACGTTTTCGAAGCCCCATACAGAGTAGTACCGGATCGGCTAATCCGCCAAGAGGTCGTCCTCGAGGCCGGGGTCGTACCTCCTCGTGGTTGCATCTACCTCATGAGCGAGGAAGAGTTAAGTGTGCTATGGGCACAACTCGACGACCTTCTTGAGAAAGGTTGGATTCGGCCTAGCTCTTCGCCATACGACGCTCCCGTTCTCTTCATCTTGAAGAAGAACAAGGACTTGCGGTTGTGCATCGATTATCGCAAGCTCAACGCGCAAACCGTCAAGAACGTCAACCCTCTCCCGTGCATCGACGACCTTCTCAAACGGCTGGGCGACGCTAAATTTTTCTCCAAGCTTGACCTCAAATTGGGATATGACCAACTCGAGATCCGACAGGAGGACCGCTACAAGACCGCGTTTAAAACAAGATATGGGCATTTTGAATGGCTGGTTATGCCTTTTGGCCTTATGAATGCCCCGGCCACGTTCCAAGCGGCTATGACAACGGAGTTCGGACACATGCTGGACAGATTTGTACTCATCTACCTCGACGATATCTTGGTGTACAAGTCGGAGTTTGGACGAGCATGTGGAGCACATGCGCACCGTTTTGGAACGGCTACGACAAGCCAAGTACAAAGCCAATCGCAATAAATGTGAATTAGCGCAGCAAGAGCTCGAGTACTTGGGCCATTTTGTGACGCCGCAAGGCATCCGCCCGCTCACGGACGAGGTCGAGGCCATCCAAGTATGGCCCGAGCCCAACAACACCACGAAAGTTCGCTCATTCATGGGGTTGGCAGGCTACTACCAACGCTTCATCACCGGGTACTCAAGGATCGCCGCACCATTGACGAGACTACAATCGCTAAAGGTGCCATTCGTATTCAGCGACGAAGGGCGCCGGTCATTCCAAGCACTCAAGACGGCCATGCTCATGGCACCCGTCCTTAGCATCTACGACCCCACCTTGCCAACGAGAGTGACGACTAACGCTTCCGGCTATGGCATTGGGGTAGTCCTGGAACAACACGACGGCGACGACCGGCACCCTGTGGAGTACTTCAGCCACAAGGTGCCTCCCATCAATTCACTTGATGATGCAAGGAAGAAGGAGCTGCTCACATTCGTGATGGCTCTCAAGTGATGGCGGCACTTCCTCCTTGGGCGTCCTAGGTTCACATCGGTCACGAATAACAACCCGTTGACCTACTACAAGACGCAAGATACGGTGAGCAGCACTATCGGACGACGGATGTACTTCATCGACCAATTTGACTTCACACCGAAACATATCGGCGGCCTCTCCAATCCCCCAGCAGATGCACTCTCCGAAGACCCGATCTTTGTGTCATGACACATCATGCCTTCGCATTCAACGAGGAACTTCAGCAGCATTTCATTCGGGGCTACCAGTCCGATCCGGATTTCGCCACGCTATATGCGCAGCTATCTTCGGATCACCCGCCGGCCAGCAATTATTGCATCGCCGACGTGTACTTGCTTCTCCACTCGTGAGGCAAGGACTTACTCTGCGTCCCACGAGAGAAGGTTAACGGAGACCCTAATTTTCAGACCACTTTCCATGCCATTTATATGAAAAACGAAGGGTCATTTTAATCAAACTTGCCACCAATTCGTAGAGTGGAGACCATACAAACTAACTTTGACCCCGAAACCCTAATTTCAGTTTTAGACTCGTTACCCAGGGCCTGAAAATGGGGGTCCCCGTTAACCATTTGTGGACGAAGCAAGCCCCGCAACCGCAATCCCTACGACGAGTTGCGCCCGTTGCCTATCCCACCGGAACCCGGCCTCTCCATTGCCATGGACGTCACCGGCCCGTTATGAGGAAACCCGGGGAGGGGCGTCTACAGTTCGCTGAAGCCAAGGGTCACGGCGCCTGTCACTCGCCGCGCCCGCTTCCGAGGTCCTCAGCGACCTGCAGGTTGCCTTTCTGGTGTTCTGTTCGTTACACCCCCGCTTTTTGAGGGGCTTCAAAAGGTCATTCATGGCAATGAAATCAATACTGTTTCTTAAGTGCGTTCGCAACCCGGTCTAATCAGTTTGCTTCTCTTTCCCTCCCCGAGCCGCCTCACTGCCCTGCAGCAGAGCGCTCCCTTTTGGAGCTCACAGTAGGCGGGGAGAGATGGCTGAGAAGGGGGGTTAGTTAATCAAAGTAAATCGCTTGCAAGATTGTATCCCGTCACTTTGCAGAGTCCCTTGATCCCTCCCCCTTTTTTTTTTGTTTCAACCCAGCCAGGGGAAATCTGATCTCAACGCGTACCCTTTTCCTTTGATTTCTTTGGCCCAAACAAGGAAGATGATGGAGATGCTTCAAAGAAGAAGAAAAGATGAAGAGATAAATAAGTAAATAAATAAAAACCACTTTCGGACAAACTGAGTCTGGAAGCTATCACCACGTTGGTCAAATATGCATACCCGAACGAAGATGATGGAGACGCTTCAAAGAAGAAGAAAAGATGAATAAATAAATAAATAAATAAATAAAAACCGCTTTCGGCCAGACTGAGTCTGGAAGCTATCACCACGCTGGTCAAATATGCAGACCCAAATTTGATTAATTCAGTACACCAACCCTCATGGATTGCTCATGTTCTGCCMAGCCAATCTCTATTATGCACCCAAATGGGCATGCGGCCCACATACAAGCGGCGAGCAGTTGSCCTGTACAGCGGTAAGTTCCTTGACACGATCTTGGAGATCCGATTGTAGCTGCTTTCTCAAGCCCATTTCTTATCAAGTGACCGTCAGTATATAATTCAGCACAAAGGACCAAATAGATAAAAAGAAACCAAACAAAAAAAAAAAAAAAAAAAAAAACGGAATGTTCAGGGGCTGGTAGGAACCCCAGCCTGCACTTACTGCAGTAATCTGTGCCCACAGTCTTCTGTCGTTTCCCTACTTGACGTTAGGCAACTTGTTCAGATCGTGTGTGCGTGAGTACCTCGGGAAGACTTCTGGAATGACCACGCAGGATGAGTGGAGCCTCCTTCCCGCTCGATCAGTCAATGATTTGGTAAAGAAGTCGAGTCTCCTTCAATGAGATGCAAAGATACCTCAGCACATTCTTTGACTTCGAAGCATCACGAGATGACCCTTCCGAACGGTATAAGAACGAGAATGAGTCTGCAACTATCACTGGTTGAAGAAAGCAATGAACCGTCATTGCCTAGAGCATTAAGGGGTGCACGGTCAGACTCTTGATCTACAGTGTGCTGGTTCCTCCCTGATGAAGCAGCAAGAGCGAATGTGCTGATTGAAGGTGGAAGTATACTAGACCATGAGAAACGGCCTTTCCCAGGTTGATCATCTGCAGGGAAACAGAATGAATTTTTGGCGCGATCAGAACAAGATGCACCGCCTTTTTCCGGCGACTGCGCCTCCCGTGATCACTTCTTGCCTGTTCGCCGTCTCTCCTCCTTTCGCCTGTCCGTTTTTTTATCCGAGCGCTCGCTCATAGCATTAGTCCACTCTCGCTGTAGTCACTGGAATTTGCCTATTCGTCTTCTCTCTCCTGCTAAGACTCTCTCCCTTTTCCTTCCTGTCTCCTTCTCTCCTTTGTAATCTTTCTCCTTCTCAGCTCGTACGCATTTAAGCTCCTGATCATCTCATCACAACTTGGCTGGCTCCTTCTTCGATAAATCCAGTCACGTAGAGGATTGTATCCAATGAATAAACGACAAATAACTAGATAAAAGAGCGACTGGCGCACACTTTGTTCTGCCAAACGGGCTTTCCCGCTCACATTTCGGCATTCGTCCTGCAAGTCACTCGAAGGCACTCGAAGGCTCGTTTTCGAGTAGCGGGGAACAGAGCCTGAGAGTTTCCGCTTGATCTCTCTTTCTCTCCCCCTCTGCAGTCTCCCTTTTTCGCCACAGTCTTTCTCTCTCTCTCTATCTCAGTCCTCTCTCTCTCTCTCTCTCTCTCTCTCTCTCTCTCTCTCTCTCTCTCTCTCTC